GGGGGTGTGGTGGGCTCTGGGGTGGTTGGGGGTGTGGTGGGCTCTGGGGTGGTTGGAGCTATGTTAGGGTCTCTAGTGAGTTTTAGAATTTTGGAGAATGCAATGAATTCTGTGGTAGTTTGGAATGTGATGGGATCTGAGATCTCTTTGGTTGAGAATGTAGTGTGTATTGGGGTGGATTTTTGGAATGGAGGCAAGTAGAGTATTTTGCTGTCTGGAAAAGTAGTAGACTCTGAGTAGAGTAGGCTCCCTTGGGTTGTATGGGCTTTCATGTTGGTAGAGAAATTGACCACAGTCCTTGTGGCATTTACCTTACCACTGGGGTAGTTGAGACTGGTGTAGTCTTCATCATAGTTGTCATAGTCATCAGAGTCATGACCAAGGGGAGAGCAACCTTTCCCTGAGTAGGCGTACACAGGTACATGATGCAAGCCGCTACACTCCACACTGGCCACATTGGGGGTCATGGCTTTGACATCGATACCCTCCTTCCATACGTAGACATTGTTTGGATTGTCCTTCAGCCAGCGACTGAAATAGAGAATCTCACAGTTGCATTGCCAGATGTTGCTATGGAAGAAAGTGAAAGGCAGGAGGAGATCTCCAAAGAAGCCCTTCGGTATTGTGTACAGCCAGTTTCCTTGGAGGTAGAGGGTGTCAAGGTCCTCCAACCCATGCAGGAGCCCAGGGGGCAGCTCTTCCAACTTGTTGTTAGCCAGATTGAGCTTCTGCAGCTTGGGTGTGGCTTGCAGAAGCCCTGGGGGCAGGATCTTCAACATATTGCCTTGCAGGTAGAGCTCTTGGAGTTGGTTCAAGCCCTCCAGGGCCCCTGGCGACAAGGAGGCCAGCTTGTTGAAGGAAACATCCAGGAGAGTGAGGCCTGGTAATGCTCTTCCTAGTCGGGGCAGGCTTTTCAGCTCATTGTGTGACAGAACCAGGGTCTTCAACAGTGACAGCATCTCATCAGTCTGCAGCGTGGCCAGCTGGCTGTGTTCCAGGTGCAGTTGGGTGAGGTGAGTCAGCGATACCACAGATGCTGTGGAGAAGTGGACCAGGGGATTTTGACCCAGGTGCAGGATGACTGTGTCTGGTGGCAGGTCTGGAGGCAGCCCCTTCAGCCGCCGGTTCTCACAATTCACTTCCACTTCTGTGGTCTCTCTGGATATATCACAGATGCTGGGCTGGGGGTGTGAGGGGCTTGGCAACAGGAGCAATAAGAAGAGGAGAGGCATGGTGACCTGTGGGTGAGAAGGGTTGAATGGATGCCCTGCCAGCTGCTGGCACCATTCCCCTTCCCCCAGGCTCTCTGCTGCAGCCTTCAGGTTCTCTTGCAGAAACCCAGCTTGCACCCCTCCCAGCCTCCCCAGTTCCCTCTCTGCCCTTGCACCCGAAGCCTGAACCACTCACTCCCATGTCCTTGGCTCTTACCCCTCTCTCAGAACCCCCCTCTTCCCTGCATCCCAGACCCAGCTTACAGACAGTCAGTAAGACCTCCGAAGGCATAGAGCTTCTTCCAGCATGTGACTCAGTCCCTCTGTCTTCCAGCCCCAAGGAGGGCCTGGCCAGAGGCAGGAAGGAGCTCGGGATGGGGAGGAAATGCCAGCCTTGATAGGGTCCTCTATGACCTGGGAATGGAATCTCCTCCCGGACACAGGCCCTTATCGCCTCCCTCCACAACTTTCCCCCAAACCCTCCTTTGGGCTCTGGTCTCTCCCACTTTCCTTCCATGCTGGTTAGATTGGGGTGGATGTCTTCAGCCATTCACATCCATCTTTTAAGAACCTACCCAGCTGCTTCCCTGTTGTCTCCCCTTCACAGCAAATACTTTAATGTTAGTTGCCTTTGAGTTGACTCCGACGCATGACAACCCATGTGTTAGAAAATAGAACTTGCTCCATAGGAGTTTCAAGGCTGTGACTTTTCCAAAGCAGATCACCAGGCCTGTCTTTCAGTGTGCCTCTGAGTGGGTTTGAACAGCTAACATTTCAGCTAGTAATGGAGCACTTAACCATTTACGCTACATTCTTAGAGTTGTCAAATATTAACTCTCGGCGGTGCCTTACCTCCCTCTACCTCCTCACCCTACTCTTTATCTTCCTGTTCCATTGACTCAGTTCTTGCCAAGGTCACCTGGTGCCCTCCATTCTACAGACACTTCTTCACTATGACACAACTTGATTGCTGCAGCCTGCATGCTCATGGCCATGCCCTCCTTGGGATCTCCCTTTGGCCTCTGTGACATTGTGACTTCCCTGGTTTCCCCTTAATTCTCAGTCTCATTTGTGGACTCCTTTTCATCTGCCCTTCCTGAAAACTTAACATGCTCCCAGGGTTTGGTCTTGAGTCCTTTTCTTTACTTTTGTTGTGGAAGCACCTCATGTAGTTCCTTGCTTTCAACCACCACCTATACCCCAAACACTAAAACAAATCCTTTGCCATTGAGTTGATTATGACTCATAGTGATTCTGTAGGACAGTGTAGAATTGCCCCATAGTGTTTCTAAGGCTGTAATCTTTACAGAAGCAGACTGTCACATGGTTCTTCTATGGAGCAGCTGGTCAGTTTGAACTGCTGACCTTTCACCTTTTCACCACTGCACCACCACCAGGGCTCCTTCCTTATATCCAGTGACTCTCTGCAAACTTCTCTGCTGGGTTCGATAATTCATTGCAATGGCCACAGAACTCTCAGACGATACTCATGATTATGGGGTTTATTAGGGAAGTAACAGGCTACAATTCAGGTTCAGGAATGTGCTCAGGATTACAATTCTTCGATCAGGGCAGTGTCCCCTCTGCTATGCCCTCAGGCACACCTCTCTGGCCCTTGGCCTCTCAGCCTAGCCACTGCCCTGCTTGGGTAAGTGATTGAAAGCTCTTTTAGCTCTGCAGATAGGTACACCTTGGTGCACCCCACTCTGCCAGCAGGGCTCCTGCCCAAGGGTGCTCAGCTTTCTTGCTCTGTGGGCCAGGTAAGCCTGCCATTCTGTTTCGTGCCTCTTGGTTCTACTGCCACCATCTCTTTGCCAGTGCATCTGTCTCCTGGGGTGTCTCTACCAAGGAGGTCCAGCACAGGGATCTTAGGTCCAAGGACGCAGTCTACTTCACCTCCAGCTCTTCTCTTCTGATGGCAGTATGATCCCCTTTCTGTCTCTGGGAGGACTCATTTTAAGCCTGGCAGAGTGACAAAACTAACCAATCCCAACATCAAAGTTCTACATCTTACTTGCATAGTCCCACCTAGTTATCTGGTGGGTATTACAAAGACTATGGCTAGAAAGGGAGCTCTGGTAGCATAGTGCCTAAGGCACTTGACTGCTAACCAGAAGGCTGGCAGTTCAAACCCACCAGCCACTCCTCGGAAGGAAGGTTGGTCAATCTACTTCCACAGTGATACTGCCTCAGAAACCCAAGGAGGGGTCGCTATGAGTCGGGTCCAACTCAACGGCACATAACACCAACAACATGGCTAGAAAAGCCATACCAGGTAATTCACTGCACTGCACTCTCAAAGCTTTATCTCTCCCAGACTCCTCTTCTGAGACCTGACACATGTCTAATTACCTTTTGGACTTCTCCACTTGGGTGTCTCACAGGTGTCTCACTATGTTCAAAATAGAGCTTATACAAAAGGCATATGAGGTGAACATTTATACTGTTGTTGTTGTTATGTGCCACTAAGTTGGACCTGACCCCTCCTTGGGTTTCCCAGGCAGTATCACTACGGAAGTAGATTACCCCATCTTCCTTCCGAGGAGTGGCTGGTGGGTTTGAACCGCCAGCCTTAACATTTATATTAGGTAGATACATTCCTTGGAGAGAACAATCATGAGAGAATAGAAGGGCTGTGTATGCATAGGGACATAGCTCAGGGGGCAGGAGTGCATGGAGGGAAGGACGGGGAGGCGGGTAACTATGGGGAGGAAGTGGGAAGGGAGCTGTTGCATTGTGGTAAATTGTAGTCAATGTCATGAGATAGTGTATGTGAACCGCTGTTTGGAAAGTGAATTTGCTCTGTAAACTTTCACCCAAATTACAATTAAAACAAAACAAACAAACAAAAAACCACCAGAGCTTTTCATCTGTTATGTGTTGAATTGTGTCCCTTCAAAATATGTATTGGAATCTTAACTCCTGTATCTACAGATGGAATCCCATTTGGAAATGGGATTTTCTTTGTTTTGTTAATAAGTCTATTGTCACTTCTGAGTATGGAGCAGCACAGACACAGAGACAAGTGAGCACAGCTGGGATAAGATGGATGCCACATGGAGATAGCCCAGGAACTGAGGAAGGTCAGGACTACAGAAGCAGAAAGAGACAAGGATATTTCCATAAAGCCAACAGAGAGAGAGCCTTTCCCTAGAGCTGGTGCCCTGAATTTAGAATTCTAGCCTCCTGAAATGTAAGAGTTAATTTCAGTTCCTTAAAGGTACAGAATGCAGAAATTATTGAACAATAGTAATATCATACATAAATAAATTTTGCTGAAAATAATTCAAAAAGCAATTGCAGAAGTATATTGACACAGAACTGCCAAAAAATTCAAGCTGAAATCAGAAGAAGACTTGAAATGAGAGATATCATTGCTGATGTCAGATGGATCTTGGCTGAAAGCAGAGAATATCAGAAAGATGTTTACCTGTGTTTTATTGTCTATGCAAAGGCATTAGACTGTGTGGATCAAAGCGAATTATGAATAACATTGTGAAGAATGGGAATTCCAGAACACTTAATTGTGCTCATGAGGAACATGTCCATAAACCAAGAATAGAACAAGGGGATACTGAATAGTTTAACATCTGGAAAGATGTGTGTCAAGGTTGTATCCTTTTACCATACTCATCCAATCTGTGTTATGAGCAAATACTCTAAGAAATTGGACTGTGTGAAGAAGAACACAGCATCAGGATTGGAGGAAGATTTGTTAACCTGTGATACGCAGATGATACAACATTGTTTGCTGAAAGTGGAGAAGACTCGAAGCACTTAATGATAAAGATCAAAGACTATAGTCTTCAGTATGTGTTACACCCCAACATGAAAACAAAAATCCTCACAACTGGACCAATAAGCAACATCATGATAAATGAATTTTTTACTTGGATCCACAATCAACACCCATGGAAACAGCAGTCAAGCAATCAGACGTCTTACAGCACTGGGCAAATCTAACTGCAAAAGACCTCTTTAAAGTGTTAAAGAGCAAAGAGTCACTTTGAAGACTAAGGTGCACCTGACATAAGCTATGATATGATATTTTCAGTAGCCTCATATGCTGGACAATGAATAAGGAAGACCATAGAAGAATGATGTCCTTGAATTATGATATTAGTGAAGAATATTGAAAATACCATGGGCTGCCAGAAGAATTAATAAATCTGTCTTGGAAGAACAACAGCCAAAGTGAGAATGGCTGGACCTTGGTCACGTTGTCAAAAGGGACAAGTCCCTGGAGAATGATATCATGCTTGGTAAAGTAGAGGGTCAGCAAAAAAGGAGAAGACCCTTGTGATTGTTAAGGTTGTATGTCAACTTGGCTGGGGCATGATTTTTTTTTTTTTTTTTAATTAGGATTTGGGTGAAGATTTACAGACTAAATTCACTTTTCATACAGCAGTTCACATATACTTTGTCTCATGTCATTGACCAAAATTTACAATGCAGCA